GCTATACACTATCACTATATTAAACAATTAATATTTAATACATTAACAGTATATAATTTCTATACACGGGCAGACCATCAAATTTTAATATTTAAAATATTATTTTAAAAAAATAAAAATTTAATAAAATTCAAAATGATTCTAAGTTTTAATATTACCGTTTTATTTCTTTTAAAATAATATTTTATTAATATAATTTTTTTATATATAAAGAGAAAGATCAAAAGAAATTATTACATCACATCAAATATTTTTCTTAAAAAAATAATATAAACATTTATTAGCTTTTTTGTACAAGGACATGAATGATTAGGGTACAGGCACACCCCGCTAGGGTTCTGCCCATATCTAGGGTCTTCTCACGTCTCAGATCTCAATCATGTTCTGTGCCTTAACAAAGCGTTTCCTGAGCTCCGATGCCAAGTTCTCTCCTCAGCTTCGAATCCAGGGGGTGCAACGGCATGGCCTACTTCTTCCCATTTTCCTCTCTTTAAATCCAATTCCTGAGGAACAAATCAGATGGTTAACGACCAATCAAGAGGATTTCGTTTTTCAGCTATTAATACTTGAACAAATTTTTTCTTAGTACTCAAAAAGATTGCACCCAATCATGTCCTATAATAAACATGCTTCTTTATTAAATTTCCCACCTACAACATATATCGATAAAAGTGTAAAAAAAAAAAAATAGTTGAACAGATTTATATTCGTACATAAAATTTATAAATTAAATATTATTATCTCATTTAAATTTTTATTTTTTATAATTTTAAATGATAATATATAAATATTATGTACTAACTATACATTCACTGTAATTTAATCGAATTTTATTTGCTTTTCCTTTATTAGCTCAAAGTGAGTAAATGCTTTACCAACCGAAGGAAAGATCAATTACATCAGCCTTGTCAATTCCTTCATCTGTTTCTTTCAATGGGTGTACTCGTACATGAAACAGGCTGTTTGCAGGTAGCTAGGGCAGAAACTTTGGCTGTGGGAAATGAATTATCTTTGTTAGGGATAAGTCAAATTGAAACGGATAGATGATTTAACTGTATTAAATGCGATTTGAAGAAAATGATTTGATTTAATTTATTTATTTAATTTAAAAATTTTAGTTTAATTGTTTATTTTTATTTTACAATTTTTGAATTTAATTAACTAAAATATTAAATTATATTATATTATATATTATATATTATTTTTATTATATATTTTATAATTATGAATAAAATTAATAATTTTAATATTATAATTTACCAAAAAAATAATAAAATTTTGATCTTTTTAATCCAAAATCAAACTTATCTAACTAATTCGATAATTGATTCGATTGGTCTTTTTTTATATTTGGTCGATTTTAATTTATTTTTTAAAAATATTTTATCTATTTGATTTTTATGTATGACAGACCAAACCAATCGAATAGCCTAATTACTCAACCTAATCTTTATTATATATAATATACATTAATACAACAAATTAACTAATCTACTATAAAAAGAAACTTTCCTTGTTTGAAATTGTAATTATTTTATTAATTTTGCTTCTATTTTTTCGTGTCAGCACAATATACATGGGTATAGGACAAAAGTCCTACTTGATTTGGAAACTCAAACTTTAAAGGAATTAAATATGTATTTCTTTTCTTTCCAAATTGATTATATAGCACATAGATAAAAAATTTTAAATATTATTTAAATTTTAAAATATAAAAATTTGCATCCAATTTCAAATTTTTGTTATAATAGTATAAGTACCAACTTGAGATTCTTTTTTTTTTCAATTTAAAAGTGATTAATTAAGTTAATCATTTGCTTAATCGGAAATTTAATTATACCTATGATGATTGACTAAAATTATCATATTTATTCATTATATTTATCGAATTTGTAAATAAAAATTCTAATTGTGCATCGAATGATTTTCATTAAAAGTGAATAATTTATAAAATAGTATTATAAAATTTCAATTATATATAATTTTGAAATATTGTCTTTCATTGAATAGTCTTTTAGTTATAAATAATTAATTTTACAATTTTAAAAAATATTTGTATTTTATATGTAAATGATTATTTAAATATTAATAAAACCACAAATATTCACCGTGACAACAAAAACTAGTATTTTGACAAGGAAAATATTACTGAATTAGTTAAACACAGGGCCAATTCCATAGGTTGGCGCCAGAATTTCTTCAATGTGTAACATTAGAAAGTTGCCAGTTGTCCATGAGGACTGTTTGGTACCAAAAAAGGGAAGCAGACGGAAAAAGCCATCTGTCCTAGAGTTTAGGTGGCCGCAGTATTAAATTATCAATCAGCAATAACTATAAGCAGGGTCAAGGAGGGAAGGGGCAAGTTACTTTTAAAAGTTTCATATCAGAGAAGCGAAGTGAAGGTATATCAGCGATGGAAGGAAGCATAGCAGGGGTAAGGGAAACCTTCAAAAGTGGAAGAACTAGAAGTGTGGCGTGGAGGAAGAACCAGCTGAGGGCTGTGATTGACCTGATAAATGAAAACGAGCAGACCATTTATAAAGTACTCCATCAGGATCTTGGAAAGGATCCTGCTGAATCATACAGAGATGAGGTGAGTGAATATGCATATATGGATTTATCAGCTAATTTGGTTCAATCCAAGTTGCGTTTGATTGCTAATTTTGCTTGCAGATGGGGGTTATACTGAAATCAGCCAACTATGCTTTGAGCTGTCTGGACAAGTGGGTCGCACCTAAGAAGGTTTACTGCTCTCTGATCTCTTTCTCTTTCCCTACGTTCAATTTCTCCTGGAAGTGGATGGAACCATGCCAATACTTTGCCTTTTCCATTTTTTTTGTTTCGGTCCAGGCTGAGTTGCCATTGGTTTTCTTTCCTGCAAAAGGGGAAGTGCTGCCTGAACCACTTGGCGTAGTTCTCATATTCTCGTCTTGGAACTTCCCCATCTGTGAGTTCAGCCAAAACCTGAGAAGCCTGTTTTAATTGTGAATTCTGAATTCTGAATCCTGATGTTGCACCCTGTGGAAGATGGAATATCTATACTATTGAGATCAATTTGTTCTTCTTCCTTAATCGAGGAATCCTGCAAGCAGCCCAGGAAACATCAATTAATCGCACTTTAGTTCAGTTAGATCTAGCTTATGCATGTCTCTTTCCAGTTTCCACTCGAAACCAAAGATCTCCAAACTGATGCGAATGCCTTAGTATTGTCATATGTTGTTCTTGATGCAGCGTTGGCATTGGACCCATTGATCGGAGCAATCTCTGCAGGGAACGCAGTGGTGCTAAAACCTTCAGAGCTGGCCCCGGCGTGCTTGTCCTTTTTCATCGAAACTTTTCCCCTTTATTTGGACAACAAAGCCGTTAAGGTCATCGGCGGTGCAGCAGATGTTGGTGAAAGACTGCTTGAGCTGAAATGGGACAAGATATTCTTCACTGGTAACCTTAATTGCATAAATGTATTTCTTTTATGGATGATTTGAATCTCGGATAACATCTGCCTTTTATCTATTGTCTTCAGGGAGTCCACGAGTGGGCCGCTTGGTTATGACTGCAGCTGCCAGGCATTTGACACCAGTTACTTTAGAACTTGGTGGAAAATGCCCTGCTGTTGTAGACGCCTTCGCCAGCCCTTCAAAAACAAAGGTTCTTTTGTCTGATTACAAGAATTAACGCTTTGAACAAATGTTAATGTATATTCAGAGGGAAAATGGTTCGACGTTCTAAATTTGCTTGTGTCACTCTGGTGTCAAGGTGATTGCAAAAAGAATCGCAGGGGGGAAGTGGGGGCTCTGCAGCGGACAAGCTTGCATCGCTGTAGATTACTTGCTTGTGGAAGAGAAATTTGCCTCTACTCTGGTATTCACCATGAAAATTTTGATGGAAAATGGGATTTGTATGTCGATTTGAATTCATAGGTTTTTTGTCTGTTTCAGATTGAGCTATTAAAGAAGAACATCAAGAGATTCTATGGTGGAAACCTTGGAGACTTGAAATGCATCTCCAGAATTGCGAACAAGCATCACTTTGAAAGAATCTATCATCTTTTAGAAGATCCCCATGTTGCGGCCTCAATTGTTCACGGAGGTTCCGCTGATGAAGAAAGACTGTAATTTCTCTGCATCTTTGAATTTCCAAGGCATTTATTTATTTATTTATCTTTTTCATGTTCATAGACAAGGTTTCATGCGGATCTTTGATTGATCAATGAACTAATTAACAGGATTATTGAGCCAACAATCTTGTTAAATCCCCCACTTGATTCTGAGATCATGACTGAAGAAATCTTTGGTCCATTGCTTCCCATAATCACAGTGAGAGATTCTCAACCCTGTTTTATTGTTTCTTCCTGCAAACTATCTGTTTTGTTCAGGAAAAATCCTGAAAAACAGTTACCATTCTTGTATAGCTGAATAACATTGAAGAAAGCATCGAATTCATTAACTCTAGGCCTAAGCCTCTTGTTATCTATGCTTTCACCGAGGATGGAACCTTCAAGAAACGAATTCTATCAGAAACATCCTCAGGAACTGTAACATTCAACGATGTCATGGTTCAAGTATTGCTCTGCTTCTCCTCAAACTTCTCTTACATATTCATCATGCAGATAAATTAAAGCTTGTTCAATGTGTTAACAATGTTTTGCAGTTTGTATGTGATTCGCTACCATTTGGAGGAGTTGGCCAAAGTGGCTTCGGAAGATACCATGGGAAGTATTCTTTTGATACTTTCAGCCATGAAAAAGCTGTACTGCACAGAGCCTTCTTTCCTGAATTGGAACCAAGATATCCTCCCTGGAATGATTTCAAGCTCCGGTTCATCAAATTAGCTTACAGGTTCGACTACTTCGGACTAATCCTCCTCCTGCTAGGGTTGAAAAAGCCATAGGTGAAAAAAACAGTTCCAGGGCCTGCTCTGTTGCCTCTTTCCTTTACTAAGTAGGGTGGAAGGATTAAATAATGCCTGTTTGCATCAATGTGAAATGTTTGCTTCTTGTCAGATGTTCTGTCCTGAACCACAAACAAGACAGGTTTTGTTGTTATGTTGGAACCAAATCTGAGCATAGTTCAATTAAGTTTCAACCCACACCTTGCCTCAAGCATGTGGCCTGGGAATCCATTTAGCAATTGCCCTTTACTGTGAGATTAAATACAAATATCAAACTAAATTAATTGCCTAACCTAACCTAACCTACATCTGCCTTCTAAGTTTCAAGGACGATTTCTGGCTACGTGTTGTTTGAAATTCAGATAGTAGCAGTAGCATCGTAGTACATGCCTATCAATTCTAATTATCCAAAGTCTTCTTCCCATCATGATGAAACAATCGTTTCACATTAGATAGTGAACTGTTAACCTTAGCTTCTTGACATTAAATGAAAAAAATGTTTTTTAAAATAATAATCTAACTAACTTCAATCCTTATCTATATGCATCTAAATTTCATTACGAATTTTGCTCTCTGTATTTCCTTATAAATTTTATTAACGAATGCCCTAATGACACTCTTTAAAATCATTGTGTTAGGGTCCGGCTGATATATAGTTAAACACTTATTAAATTCATATAATAGCATTGTAGTATTTGCCTATCAATTTTAATAATCCAAAGTCTACGAATTCTTTTCTAATTTTTTTCAATTTTACATTATTTAGGAAAATATTAATCTGTGCTTTCGTAGATTAAATGAAAAAGATATTTTAATTGTTATCATATTAGGTCGGATTGACGGAGCCTGCTATCTCAATAAGATTAATTATTATTTTAATTTTTAAAAATATTTTTTCATTTAATACACCGTCCAATAACCTAAAAAACACTAATTAAACCAATAAACCGCTGCCACCTGTAACTTTAGCCATCTGGCAAATGGTAGAAGAAATAGAAGCGTTTAAATTGTCCCCTCGCGGCAGTTGACGGTTAATACAGTATAAACACGAAGCCATCCCACGCCCAAAAAGGCTGGCGTCGCTCCTTCCTCGAACCCCCACCGACCAATCACCGCTGACCACATTCAATAACTCCCGAACCCATGTCGGCTCGCTCATGAGACACCTGACTCCGACCCTTCGATTTGTCTCCTCCAATATAATCACCATCAACAGCCACATAACTCAAGATCCACGCCGGCTCCTTCCCGTCAGCGGCTGCGTTCAATCAAAATCCATGGCCACCGAGAACGATTTAACGAAAGGGTCATCGGCTATAAAGGACACTGGCGACGATAAGAAAAAAGGAGAAGAAGAAGAAGAATTAGTTAACAAATTGCCGCCTCCGCCGGAGACGCCCGAGCCTGGGGATTGTTGCGGGAGTGGATGCGTGCGGTGCGTTTGGGATGTGTACTATGAGGAGCTCGAGGCTTACAATAAGCTTCGCGAATCGGATTCCAAGGCTCCCAAATCTTAAGTCATCTTGCATTTTTGTTTTTATTTTTATTTTGTTGTTGTTTTAATTTGGTGAATAAATTCATGGCAAACAGAAGAAGAAAATTATTATTTGTTCTCAAATTTCTTGAATTTATTGAAATTGTTTTATTAATATAAAATCATTAAATGTAGGACTACATATTAGTACGAAATTAATATCGATTTTAATCATCGAAAAAAGTATTATCCAAATGAATTTTCATTTAAATATTGGATATTTAACTCCATAAAATTTGACTTATACATATGAATAATAAAAAAATATAAATATATTCACGCCATTTTTTTTAGTTTTTGAAATAAATAACTTTTAAATAATAATTATTAAAAATTGACCCCGTTCTCCGATCAAGAGTATTACGTGTTAGATTACGATACATACGAATACGAGTTTTCTAATCGGACTTGTACATGGGCATCGTTCCTTTTTGGGTCAAAAATCCCAAAGACTGCGAAGCCCAAGGGGCTAACTAGAGCCTCAATGAAAAGATCAAACACAAGCTCGTCGACAATCGACTGATCAGAAAGCTCGCGATCAATCGATTTCGAGTCACAAGCTCCGAATCCAAGATTTCCGTCGGAGGAAGAACGTGGGAAAGGATGTCGCGGTCGAGGTTTATCCTGACGATATTTGGGACGGTCGTGGTGTTGCTGGTAGCCGGAAATGCTCTAAGGCTAGCTAAAGCCAACAATTCAGCTTCCGCCTTTGTCCAAAACACCATCTTCTCCAACAAGATCGTCATTTTCTCCAAATCCTATTGCCCGTAAGTTGTTTTTTTTTTTCCTCGTTTCCATCTTTCACATTTCCGGTTTTATTTGGACCATTTCATATTCATAATTAAGAATCAGGGCATTGTGTTTATCGATTGTAATTAATCTTATGCCACTTTAAACCCCATTTTTCTTGTTGGGTATGTCTTCAAAAGTAGAATTGAAACTTGAACTCTTTTGGGATTTTGTGTATTGGATCATATGATGGGTTGGTCCCAAATCTTTTGCTTTGCCCTGTTCTTAGGTATTGCTTTCGTGCCAAGCGCATATTCAGTGAGCTAAATGAGACACCTTATGTTGTGGAGCTTGATCTCCGAGGTATCTATGTGTTATCTGCTTCTGCTGAGTTTTTCCGGTGAATATGTACGAAAAGAGTAATTCTAAATGACACTTTGACTTCTTGAATATTTGTTTTAGATGATGGAGGTAAAATCCAGTATGTCCTTCTGGATTTGGTCGGTCGAAGCACTGTCCCACAAGTGTTTGTCAATGGCAAGCATATTGGAGGCTCTGATGGTTAGCTACATAGCTTTCATAACTTTTGGTTTTCCATTAATCCGAGCTCATTTTCCTTTTTTTTTTTTATTTGTGACTACTTTGTAGATCTCAAGGATGCAGTCCACAGTGGTAAATTGCAAAAGCTTCTAGCTGCAAGTTAATGAGCTAATAGATAAAAGAGGAATTCAATCATTTGATCTGAGTTGTGATGCTGCATGTGGATTAGAGAATCATCTTAGGGTTGTGAATTAAGTAAGTTCTCCGCAAGATTATATTGAATGCTCCAGGATACTGGCACGCCTTGTTGATGTTAGTCTTGATTCTCTTCATCCTTATGGAAGATGTGGTTCAAGTCTTAAGTTTGTTGTAGATGCAGTTTGAGAGAGGAAGCAATGACTTAATTTAGTTTTACTAGAATCTATTCTTTGTTTAGTTTAGTTTTCACTAGAATCTATACTTTGTTTAGTTTAGTTTTCACTAAAACCTATACTTTGTCAATGGATCTATTGGCAGTTTGGTGTTTCTCCATATGGTAAATATAACTGTTCTTTCTTCTGAAATGAATTCGAAACAAGTGAAATGTGAACATGATTTTCCATTTAATTTTCAAAGAAAATGTCTTAATTATTCATTGAAGATGTAATTTTAGGACTGCAACCCTTGTGGTTGGCATTGATATGCATTGACAGATAAAAAGAAGTAGCCAAAAGTATGGTGTCCGAAGTCCTTTTCATGCATGCTGTTTCTTGTCAAAATTGGTTAGGAGAAGGTTATGATATATAACAAGTCTAGCGTATGCTATAGCCTGTGCACAATCCTCCATGTTTTTCACTAAGCAAGGGTGGACCATGGATAGAGCAGTCTCGAGCTTCAAGATACCTGCTTCTTCACTTCAATGCTTCATCAGTCTTACCATCATTCTCTTCATTCCTCTCTAAGATCGTGCCTTTGGTCCTATTGATACTATAACACAAAAACCCTCGGGTCCATGATCAGTTATGTCCATGAAAGTTGCCGATCTAGTTTTAACGAAAAAGCAAAAATCTGCTCAAGAGTATGGCCTGGTTGATTTGCCAAATGCTATGGTTCCAATGACTCTGTGGCAGCTGCTTCCTCGACATATCTTGTTTGGAGTCTCAGATGTTTTCACCATGGTTGGTCTGCAAGAATTCTTCTATGATAAAGTTCCAAATGAGTCGACAAGCGCTGGTCTGTCTCTTTACCTAATCTTTAGAGCAGGCAACTTTCTTATCTCTATTATAGACAAAGCCAGTGGTAATAAGGGTGGAAAAAGCTGGTTTGCTGATAATCTTCATCAAGCACATCTTGATTACTTTTACTGGCTGTTTGCTTGGTTGAATGTCTGCCTACACGTCCTTATGACACTGCGTTAGGATCACTATTGATGAATTGTAAATTTGTTATTAAGTTCATATTATAATTATTCATAAGCTAATGCCAACAGAAATGTTGTCTACTTGTATATAGTTTTGGTTATATTTCTTCTGGTTTCCCGATTTTTCCTAATCTCTCTCTTCCTGTTTTCCCCCCGTCATTCATTCGATTCTCCCCCTTTATTTATTTTTTTATTTTTGTTTAACTTAAGATTAGTCTAAACAAAATTTTAAAAAAAAACTTTAAAAAATACCAAAAATAAAAAATACATAGTGGCACAAAGAACAAATCATGTATTCATAAAAGTATCAATTGTCACAAAATAAATCTCTTAAAAAAGAATTACCCTTAATTTAAGGGGACAAAAAATAAAAAACCAAGTTTCAAGTTACAGCATTTCGCTATGATATGTATGCTTCAATGTTTTACATCCCTTGAAACAACAATAGCAGAAAGGTTTTCTTTCTAGGAGGAACCTTGATATGTTGTTGGTCGCCAATCACCTTTCTGAGCGCTGAGTATTCCTTCATCATCTTTGGAGAAAGTCAGATGAACCTCCCAATGCAGAGACTTCAACAAGTTCTCCACTTCCCCGATAGCACTTGATTCATCACGAACAATCAGTTTTCCTCCTGGTCTGACAATTCGATCAACCTCTGCCATCACCGGTTCAAGTTTGCACCTTGCGAACACCGGGGAAATGAACCGATTAGCAAACTTCTTCAATTGCAGATGGAATTTGAATGAGAGAAGAGAAAGAAGGGAATATCGTGCTATAGTTTCTAACCTCTTTTTCAGCTTGGAGAACAGATGATCAGCGTGCAGGAGATCATATGATCGAGGGTAGGTGCTGAAGGACTCGCACCAGTCATGGTATATTCCGAAAAGACCTCGTTCGTAGATTATTGGTAGTGTGTCCGGAGAATCAAAGTTCACCACGTTCAGCACCCACACTTGAATGTCCTTCAGGGCTGCTGCAAACCTGCACGCATCCAAGATGTAACTTTCCATCTATAGTGTACTGATTTCTAATACGAGAAAGAGAAGTGATGAACGACGACCATTACCCTCCATAAACAGCTCTCATGTCCATCACATTTCTAACATTAGACCAACTGATTCCCAATCCGCTCATATACAACTTGCTCACTACTCGTGACCAATGTTCATAATCTCTAGCAAAATCTTGGGGAGCTGGTTTCCCGTAAATCCCCATCTGGGAGCTGTTCAACCAGTAGGGAATGTTTTGTAGCCGAGCAGGCCAATCTGCCGGCCATTGTGCCCCTCGTTCAGCCTGATTTACTGGCACGCGGTGCATGCATGCCTGCAGGGGTACGTGCCTGAAACAAAACAAGAAAGAATGAATCTATCACCTTGACGTGAAGTATTTCGTTATGGTACTTGAGCTGAGGAGATAGCTTCATGAGCTGCAGTTGAACCTTGACTTGACAGAATGGAGCATAACATCGAGAATATGTAAAGAAACCTACCAGACAGCATTTGCATCATCACTATTTTCACACATTGGAGGACTATTCTCCTTCCTTTTGTCATAGCATTCATTTGAGGTAGGTTTGCGGTAGACGGCAGCACCAATGGAATTCAATTGATCCTTCTTGATGGTCACAAGCTCCCAACACATGGATTCTGTCAGGGCCGTCATGGCTGCAAAATTTACTACTTGTCAGCTCAATGAAAACCTAAAAAACTCTGTTTGAATTGAATGTAATTTTCCGTGTTCACCCTTCCATATTTCCACATCCTCTTCAAGATTCTGGTAGACAGGGGTAGCTGACCAGACAAAGTATCCTCCAGGTCTTAGAACACGGTTCAGTTCTAGCAGAAGCAGACCACCTTCTGCATGCCAAGGCACTCTACAACGTGCACAGTGCACTATATCGAAGACCCTGGAAGGAAATGGTAGCCGCTGAGAACCCATCACAGCGGATATTGCGGGAATTCCTCTTTCAAGGGCGAATTGAACTTGAGCTTCATGCTCATCTTTAGGCGCGAAAGACATTGCCAGAACATCTCTATCGAAAAGAAAACCTCCAAAGCTGGCGACACCACATCCAACATCCAAGATCACCCTGGTGTGCTTACCCCATTTAATGTCCGACACTGACTGCAGCCAATAGCAAACGTAATCTTCATTCTCAACATATAATATGATAATCTCCCATTCTTGTCATCTTACTTTTCTGGGTCTCACTATCAATCTCAGGAAAAGAAAGCAAGTGTATAGAATTTAAAACATCATAATTACAGATTCATATGCAAAAGGAGAACATCTTCATTGTAATTTTGTGAGTGAAAATAAGAATTTTGTACATAGTTCAAGCAGGATCAAAATCAATACATAGATGGGACTGTCTCAGACTTACCTGCTCGACGAAGTCAATGTAGTGGCGGGCACCATGTATGAATTGGGTCCCTCCGCCAGGGAAAGTCAAGAACTCACCGCTCACTTTAACCCAGTTCTGATGCCCTTTTACCTGAGCCAACTTCGTGTGCGGTACATTATGGTACCATATCTGCAAGATCACAGGAAAACAAAGTTACAATCCCACAAAAAAAATCATAACAATCAGACGGGTTTATTCAATCTTGACCTTATCTCGGCTTTGGGGCCAGGGGATGGACCTTTTGTATCCCTCCGGAAGTGGGACCAAACACGTGGGTGCCTCCTCAGGGCAATGCCTCTCCCGATGTTCAAAGTGCTTAGTACTATGTAATTTCTTCAATGCTTTCTCGTTGTCCAAACATGGAATGTAATCAGTACCGGCAGTGACGTTACATAACTGCCATGTGTAACCATAGATGCTCTCTTTACCGGTTGATTCGTCCTTCCGTCTCTCTTTCTCGTTTTCTGATTGAGTCTTCTGCGTCTTCCAGGACTTCTTCGACTCGGACGACTCTTTTGGAATGGAACTTCCTAACGACTCACCCGAGTTTGAGTCATTCGAAATCTCTTCCTTTGGGGCGTCCTGTTGTTGAGTTTCCTGATTCTGAGCTTCACTTTGGGTTTCTTTCTCTGTTGTCTCCTTGTTGGTCGCGGGCTTCAGTATATTGAACGCATCGGTTTGAGTCTCGTTTAGGATTTCTTTTTGTTTGTCCTTGGTTTCGTCGCTAAAAGTGGTTTGTGCAATCTCTTGCGTTTGTAACTCTTGTTGCTCTGGACTTTGCTGTTTGTTTCCCTTTTGTTCTTCTTCTAACTCCGTCGTGTCATTCTTTGGTTTCTCTTGATCATCTTCCTTCGATTTCTCGTTTGTTGTTTCTTGCGTGTCTTCATGGCTTTCAACCTCTTGTATCTTTTGCTTGTCTTCACCTTGCTGTTCATCTTCCGACTCTTGATTATTTTGCCACTCTTTCGATTTCTCATTTCCTTGTTTCTGTTCCGCACTTTGACTTTGATCTTCTTCTGAATCCGGATTGTTGTTTGCCTCCGGATTCCTGTTGGTTTCCTCATTTCCCGTTTCCCTATTGTCTTCTAACTCCTTCTGGCTGTTTTCCTCAGATTGTTGGTTTTGAGTCAATACGCTTTCCTCTGATATCTGAGTTTCACTCTGCTTCTCCTGCTCTTCAGTTGATTCTTTGCCCTGTAAACCATTTGGATCCTCCTCAGCTGCTCCACCTTCTGTCCCTTTATCCTCAGACTCGCTTCCTTTATCCTCCTCGGACTTACCCTCATCAGGTTTGATGGCATCGTCAGGGAGTTGCCCAGGATTATCTTCAAAGACAGCTTTGTCTTTATCATCATTGTTTTTGGTGATTTGTTCTTCATTTGAAGAAGGAAACGTACTGTCGGCGTTGTTGTCAGCGGCGGTGCGCGTGGTGGTTGTTTGTGGGGGTGCAACGGAGTTGGAAGTGAGCATCCATACCCCAAAAACGCATAAGGTTACAAAGACTACGGTGGTTATAGTCGATGCATATGAAACCGACGATGAACGCTTGTTGCTGCGAGACTTTCCCCCTATTGCCATTTTGGTTTTAACTCTTTAGAAGTGAGAGTGCATACGAGAGAAGAGATATGCTTTAGGAGGTGTGGTTTTGGTAAGAAATGGAGATCAAAAACATTGAGAAGATTAAGCTAAGTTTGTGGAGGGAGACGCAAGAGAAAGCAGAAACTGTAAAGAGAGAAGAATCATTCCGATTTTCCAAGTATGAATGTCTCAAGATCCGAAGGAGTTGGAGAAGGGAATTCGTTGGACAGCTTTGTTTTCTCATTTCTGTCTTTTACTTCTTTTTTTTATTTTTCCTATTCCTGATGAACCAGATGAATTTACTCATCAAGGCCTTGGGGCCTGGAGGACTATTTTCATTATGGGCCACGCATAACCCAAAGCCTGATGGGAGAGACTAGAGACCCTCACAAAAGACCCACTCATTCAGCAAAATGAAAGCAGTGGCCCAAGCTTTCTCCAACACAAAAAACAAAGGTCAGTGCACTTTCTGTCTGATGCAGGTTGAATTATGAGATCATCAGATCAATCATCTATAGATTTTATGCAAAGATATCTCAGCAAAATCTTTGGATGTGACATGGAATGAAGATGAGATCATTATTAAATTATTAATGCAATTCCACTTTCTTTTTTATGATTTAGTGGGTTTCAGTTGGACAAAGTGAAGGCATATCCCATTAAGCTTTGTCAGCTCCCAACATGGACCAGAATGCAGGGCACTTTTTGGACCCCTTTGTTGCTTTTTTTTTTTCTTTTTTTGAGTTTGGACAAGTTGGGAAGATGAAGGGCAACGACAGGAGGAGGAGAATGGAGCAAAAGGGGTGTAGATTTTTGGTCCAGAGAAGAGGCAACAGGATGCTATTTACAATGCCTGTCGTTTCCAAGACCCGGAGGCAGATTTTGGGGCAAAAGGGTTCTTTGGCACTTTTTTTATTTGAAGCTTTACAGGTTCTGGAAAAAAGCATAAGCAAACATCTTCCATACCTGTTCTCTTATCATGCGGATAAGCTCTGTTTGAAACCATATTTTTAGAGACAAAGTTGGGGGGGGTCCCTAAAGCAAAAGATAATCACATACATCATACATCCACTTCGCCGCATTATGTTTCAGATTGTCCAAAACTTCCAAGTTGCCTGTCGCATCAAAAGCCTGTTGATTCATATGGGGAACAAGGTTTGATTAAGAAGTAAGCGAACCAACTAACAAGTTAACATGCCAACATGGGGAACAGTTGACAGTTCAGATTTTCAGTCTGACAATTTTTAATCCTTCGGTTTTTTTTCCCAAAAGAAAAAAAAGGGTACCAAGAAAACTGTTCTCCAACATCTTAGCTACGGACAAAGTTTGTTGAGTTCCTCAATTTCCATAGTCAAGGCTAATTAAAGGGATTCAAAGCCAAAAACACAGGGCCAAGTGAAAAATAGGTACTGAGTTTATGGAGAGATAAGGTCGCTATATTCACTGCTGAATACATAATACATAATACCTACTACTATTTGGTTTTTTTAAGCCTTATTTATGGATTTTGCAAACAGGGAAAACTCTTATTTTTATAGATGAATGTATCTTGCGCCAATTTGCAGCATCGCAGCATTCCTTTTTTTTTCTGCCCTTTTTTCCCCTTAGTAGAAAGGACTGTCCCTATCCAATGCAAAGGCTCAACAAAGACTTGCCTCCTGCAGTCTCACAAGCACAACAGGGCTTCTTTTCTTTTGAGGGGTTAGAACAGCAGGTTGAGCAAAGGAAGCTTTTGGCAGCAGAGCTGAGACACTCACTAACAGAAAAGCCAGTTTGGGACCACACCAATTATGCCCACAAGCACAAAAATTAACTGATACTGTTCCTGCAGCAAGATTTATCTCTCTGCACACTGGCGACTGGCCACACCCAAAGGTACTACGTACCCAGCAGATATGGACACATCCCTACAGCCCCTTAATGCCGTGACAAATCCCAGTAGTCTTAAATGACTTCGGCTGTTATTTGGGCTTTCAGTTTCAAGCAAAAACTGTTTGCTTTGGTTTATCATTGATGTTCTTTCTTTTTCTTTCTCTGGGAGTTCCTTCACATAATATTTACTCCTTTTTTCAATCTTTAGAAAACTCCAAACCGTAAACTGCCAAAAGCCTTTTTCACTGCCGCATCATGGCTCTCAGTTCTATGCTTCGTTATTCTCATGTCTGTGGACTACAGTTTGCTGAGCAAAGTAGACGTCAGGGCATGGCTTAAGTCGGGTCAAGCACGATTGGAACTTGGAGCCTGGTAAATTATATCAACAGAAAGGGCGGAGCGCATGCAGACTTGTTGGCCATGGCGAAAGTCAAAAGCTGGAGGTGGGCGGGTATCCTCTACCTCTCCCCGCTCGTGTTGTTCATGCATGTTTTTCCATTGTCTCAAAATTCCCAAACCATTTCTTGAGTTAACAGGGACATAGATTCTTTCTTTAGGGTTCGAAAATAATCACGACTATAAAAATAAACATTGGGGTTGGTCCTGATGGTGAATGCACCAGATAGTCTGATGGGTAAATATCAGCAGAAAGAGAAAGGAAGAGAAATTAGTTATTCCATATTCTTTCAGAGAATTGCTGACAGTTAGGAATAACAAATAGAATGTCGATGGAGAATCCAGCCCGAGTGAGAGTTTCCTGTACAAAGAAAAATATTATTCCTCTTGGTGTCCCTCAACATGAGAATCCGAGAAAAAGTGTGAGTTTCTGAGCAAGGAAACCCTTAAAATGCCACTTGAAGAACTCTCTGGTAAAGTGGCATCAATACTTTTTGCGTTGGGAAAGGGGGATTGATGATTTTCCTTTTTCACATCTTAATGTTCTTTGGGGCTTCTATTTGATAAGTCTTTTCAGGGAAAGGGGACGTGATAGAACATCTGCCTGTGTTACTTAGTTTGATAGCAGTCGATTGTTGTGAAAATTCCCCTTTTAAATTAACCCAGCATGAGATAAGATGAGATGCATCAGATATCACCATTCAATCAAAAATCTTTAGCCAACCAGTTACCAAACAGGACTGAATAAAGTTTCTCTATTAGGTCAACAACATCAACAACACCGTACCAAAGAATATTCTTAGTTTTCTGGATTGCAAAAGCTAGCTAGCTAGCTTGCACCACCTGAATTCAAGGAATGTTGGCCGTACAGATGAACCAATTGCAGGAAATCCAACAGTAAGATCACTGCTTAGACCCAAGGATTTTATGAACTATGCACTGATGAAATATTTATTGTCAAGTTATGACACAGAGAATTAAAACACCCGAACTACCTGCCTTCCAAAATATTTAGATTCAAAGAATTCCTTGAATAGACTATTGCAAGATTCTTATACCAACTAATTTAACAAAAAAAGAAGATTCATGTTCCTATAATCTGGTTTTCATTTGAAACTCAAAAGCATGCAAAGTGGTGTTACAGGTATAGTTCCCTTCTTAGCAAAGAATTCCCGATTATGTCCACTTCAACCCTAAACAGGAAGACCCTTATATGAAAAAAGAATTCTATTTTATACATAATCTCCAAAGAGAATCACAGTTTCAGTTGATCCATCAGTACTTATTTTTCTTACAAACACAACAGACAGAGATGACATGATTGAATTCTTTCTTGATAATATTCTAATGTTGTAGCCCCCTTGTTCCCTCTGTTACATGCAGTCTCCATTAAATTTAGTCCCTTCATGACCCTACCTGCTAAAAAATGAGATATGTGGTCACTCAAAAACCAATTATTGGCTTTGCATTGCTCCCCAGCTACCTAGACAATTAATACCACAAAATTCCTACTAATTTACAAGAACTCCACCACTAGTTTCAATATTCATATCCATACAAATTGCAATTTTCGTACTGAAGACAATTGCATATGATGCATTAAAGTATACATGCATACAGGCTGCAGGTAAATATGTTGGTCCACTTAGGACTTTGATTGATTTTTAAAAATAATATAACTACAATTTTTCCCTGCAATATGGATCCTATCAAAGCACTCCAAATCAAGTCAACTATACATGAGTTCTTTATCATAAAAAATAGTGAGTCTGTATGTTACACAGCCATAGCGAATAATTCGATTGAGAAAGGAAAAACAACCATTAGAGCTTCTTCAAACAACTTGATACCAAAAATCTTCTCCCTTTAAATATTAAGTGTTCTTATAAGTAGTTGGGACATGTCAGAGTACTATCAAGTAGAATTTTTGTTAGACATTCGATTAAGGGCCATCAGGGAATAGAAACAAACACTTCCTAGTAATTGTCTTACCTAAGGAACAGACTGAAATTACAAAATGTTTTAGGCATGCATGTTTAAAGCTTATTCGTTTTCCTAGATACTTATTTCCTGAAAATTTTAAGTTCTTTTTATCAATGTCAACTGAAACTAAATATCATGAGCAGAAGCCTGGTTTTTACATCTATATCTCATGAAATGACAAACATATTACTAGCAAATGCGCATGACTTGTATGCTTAATTTCTTTTACATGAAAGCACAATGCATTTTCCTATTTCCATTGCAACAAATGTATAGCTCGATCATATGATCCTATGATTCTTTTTATTATATTCTTGATGCTAGCTCTTATTTCCAACTTTTATAAGAAAAATTTTTACCTCAAACAAATTAGATATCTAACATAAAATAAATTTTAGAACAAAATAAAACTGATGAATAAAACTGATAAAACAGTTTCCAATTTCAGTTAAACAAATTTGTATAAGGGTGAGTAAGCCAATTATTTGCTTCAATGCTGACTTGCTTTGGAGATGACAGACATCTTTTCTAAGAAAGTCCTAATCAAAGTCATATTAACTTTCCCTATTTTATCAAAATAATAACCATAATAATTGCTATTTTTATTATTATATTTGTTTTTAAAAAGCTAACCCTTTTAGCTGGGAATCAGATCAACAAGACATGTACTCTTGTTGGAACTTTTTTAGACCACCAACCACCATAGCATTACAACAAAATATAATTTGGAAAAGCCCAGGAAATCCTTGCTTTCCTCTAATTCTGCGGTATCCCTATACAGCCTCAAAATAATCTCAAATTAACTAATATTTTGATCCAAGCAGCTTTCTTATTGAATTGTTAAATACCCTAATC